CTTCAACTGCTGATATGTCTCGAATTCCCTCAGCAAATGCTTCAGGAGTGTGGATCTGTTGACATCGGCTCTTTGCACTGAAGCTGCCAAGCGTGAGTGAGTCGCTGAGAGGTGGTGCTCCGAAGAACCATTTAAAGGCAAATAGGTTGCACACAACTTCAGCTATGCCAGGGAAACAAGTAGAGAAGAATGCAACATAACAAGCTGGAACAAATCATGAAGCACGAAGCCCTTCCCTGCATAGCTGCATAATCCAGACGGACGAGTTCAAGTAAAGATCCAAACTGGACACCGTTGCTCTAACCAAAAGGCTCGAGAAGCTTTAACAACCTTTCGTTGGCACCGTCACCAAAGAGCAAAGTCTCGATAATCCTTAAAGATCAAGTCACCAACTGGAAGAAGAGCCCATCAATCTTGAAGATCATACTGTTGACCAAACTGCTCAGGGTTCATATGAAAAGGCTGCGAACTTCCTTGATCTCTTTCAAAGCATGCATGTCCTGGAACTGCTCGTGGTCACGTTTAAGTTCGAGATCAAGCTTTAACAACCCTGACTCAAGATCAAGTGTCCACCACCCTTGAGTCAAATCCAGTTCAAAATGAAGTATGTGGAAAGTCCTTTGGAGGAAACCAGAAAACTCCTTCAGCCTAGTTCAAGATCAAAGCTGTGGAAAGTCAACAAGCACAACAAAATACGTGTCGATTCATCCATCATCAAAGCCAAGGATCGTCTTCTACACGAAGCTCCTTGTAGTCCAATTTTATCCAAGATCAAGCCTCAACGGCCCTTGAAGAAACTTCAAACAAAATTCAAGAACAAGCCTTAACGGCACTTGAAGAAACTCCCAGACCGGTTCAAGATCAAGCCTCAGCGGCCCTTGGATCGACAACTGCATTAAGGGACTTCAAAACGCATCTTCTACATGTAACAAGCACATGTATACAACGCGTCTTGAAGTGGGGGCATTTGTAGACATTGAAATTTTGGTGGCATAAATGTTAGCGCTTGCATTAAGATTACATTTGTAAACATTGAAATTTTAGTGAAATAAATGTTGACCATTGTGTTAAAACTACAACCTTCATCCAAATTCACCTACAACCCCCACCCAAATTCACCTACAACAACCAATCCAAATTCACCTACAACCTCCACCCAAATTCACCTACAACAATCCATCCAAATTCACCTACAACCTCAACCCAAATTCACCTACAACAATCCACCAATTCACCTACAACATACACCAAAACAAATGGATGGTGGTGGTTCATTCTCAAGGCCTATAAATAGGCTCCTCCATCAAAGAATCAAAGGAGGATTTTAGATACACTTTCTCTACTCCCAAATTGGAAGAGAAATCACACCACACCAAAGCCTTGAAGCCTCGAAACTCTGAAGCTCTCAAGTAAATCCCGAAGGATCAAGAAAGCCCTATCTGTTCTTCGTGAAATCCTCCTTCAAGATCAAGCTCCAACGCCCCTTGAAGAACTTCCACCCATTCAAGATCAAGCCCCGACGGCCCTTGAAGAAGGTGTTCATCATTCATCAACTGTTCGTCCAAGATCAAGCCTCGACGGCCCTTGGATCAACAACACTACATCTACACGTTTCAAAGATAGAATCAGAGGATAAATTTGTAGAAGAGATTGTAACCCCTAAATCATTAATACAAATATTATTTTTGGACACGTGTTCTTGTCTCTTTCGTTTCAGGAATTTCCGTGTTTACAGGTATTATCGCAAATACTTATAAGTTAAGATGATACTTCAGCAAATAACCCTAAACTTTTCAATTTGTAGATCCCGTGTTATAATATAAATGAAGAATGAAAAAATATATTTTAATGTCATTTCATTTGTATTATAACACGTAGTATACATGTACGGACTAACGTTGCGAATACACTGAAAAAATCTTTCGTTCGATATTATTACTGATTGGTTGCAAACTCTGTTCATGTGGAACAGAACAGACCAGAACAAAAATAAGAGAGGTTATAAAGGTTCCATACGTAAACGAGTCACCGACCAAACGGTTGTAACTCTACTTTTCATCCGTCGTTTTTCACTCCCCGTCTTGTTCGTGCTCTCAAGCCTTGCCAACATCATCAGATTTTCCAAAACCAACAACACGAACCCAACGAATTATCTCAAAAACAATTTCCGGGTCTTTCATTTCAGTCCAAAATCTCAGATGGGTCGTCGGCAGAGCGACTCAGAACTCGGCCGTCTCACACTTCTGGCCCTTTTCCTGATGGGCGCAATCTTCTGCTGCATGGTGTACCTGTTCCTCGCTGTGGCCTCAAAACCCAGCAGCATAACAACAGCTGATTCGGTTTCGGAATTCGGAGACGTTGGATGGAGGAGTGGAGAAGAAGATGGAGAATGCTGCAGAGGGATTGAGAATTTAGAGCTCTGGGGTGATGCTGTGAAATGGGGTTCTGAGTTTAAGGTGAATTCTTCTAAAGAGTGCTGCATGTCTTGTAAGGATATGTGCGGGGATCGAGATGGGCATTGTTTGTGTGACAGTTGGGTGTTTTGTGGGGATAGAGAGGCTTGTGGACTTAGATATGGTGAGGTATGGTTTCTCTCCGTTTCATCAAATCTGCTCTCTACTATTTAACATTTATTTTTGGGTATATTCATTTTAATTGAGCGGTATTCTAATTTAATCTAAACTACGGAGTAGGGGAATTACACTAGAGCGTGTAGCCAACTTGGTTACGCCCATGTATGCGTAAATTCCTATGATGGTTTGGTTTATTTATTCCAAGGAAGCTTTGGGAGATAATGTAGATGGAAATTCGTAGTGTGGTTGTGTAGTTTTCATATAATGTACAAGAATTTATTGTACTCGTATAAGATAAGAGTTTCGGTGTGACGATTGGGAATAGTCAGCAAATTTTGAGATTGTGCGTAGTCCATTTTCTGGTGCTTGCAACTTTTAGGGCTACTATTCAGTCTATTCTACCATATTCTTCTTATTTATTCTTAAAAATTCATGGCAATCCTGGCTCGGGACATTATCAACATGAACGAGAGCATTATCGAAATTAGCATCTTGCACATCAATATGACTGTTACATTCTTGATAAATCCTTTGATTGAATTAACTGGTTTGGGTTCTAAGCTGCCTATCTTCTTCATGCTTGCAGTGTTGGTTAAAGAAACAAAAGGATACCTTGGACCCTGATCGGAAAGACTCAGGTGATCTGATTGCATGGACTTCTGGACTCGTCTTTGGAAAAGGAGAGGTAAATAATTACTGTTTGTCATAGTACTTGTCTTTGGTTGTAATTCTACTACTAATTATGTTGTCAAGTTTTGGTACTTGTTTACTCATGCGCCCGAGGGTCCCATTTATGTGTTTCGTTGCTGATATATGAACATTTCTTCTTTGGGACAAAACGATTCACAGAAATTTTCAGATCAGAGTAACTAAGATTGTAGTTACTATGTTTAGTTTTACCAAAAGCAGTTTGGCTTATAATTTTTTTATTGGAGATTACTACACTTTGATTCGGTGAACATCTGATTACTGTTTGATTAGTTCACATTAGCAGGGGCAGCCAACAAAAACGACCTAGTTTTGTCTGAAACCTGGCTTCGAGAGTGGCTTCTGTTTGATGCTTTTAGCCGACTGCAGTTATGTTTGCGAGAAGGCTTAGTTGACTTGAGTTGGTTACCTGAGGTTGTTAAAATTAGAAGACATTTCTAGTATTTGTAGGAGGGGATGTAAGAATTTGGCATGTGTGGTTTTTTCTATGAGTTTCAAAGAGGAGTGCATAACGTGAAAGATCGATGTGTATTGTAGCAGCAGATTTTTTCGTATATTATATGAGTGGTTTTAAGGAAGTTAGACTAAAAGTTATTTCTGTTTTCTGTGTCTTCTTGTCTGTTCACATAACATGGCTTGTATCTACCCTTCGATTTCCACAGGGTATTGTCGGCTTGGAAACAGAGTATGGGACTCTTCATATAAAGGTTAATTCTTCCTCCTCAGGAGTAGATGCGTAATCTAGGATCTCTTACAACCCTGAGCTAAATCTTATTCAGTTAAGTTATGCTGATACTGTAGTGATCGAAAGTTTAGACTGCATATTTGTTCACAATGTGCTGTTTAGCTTCATGAATTTGAAACTCTAGCGGCTATATGATGCTGCTCGTTATAAGCTTTAACAAATTTACTATTTCTCGTGTGAAAATAAGGATTCGTACTAGTATCTGAATGTTGATAAAACAAAAACACTGTTTCATTTGAAAACAAAAATGTTAACTGATCGAAACTTGCTAGGTTTAGGGGTATTCTTCAGTGTTCTCCGTCAAGCTCCTTCACAATTGATGCGATTTCTTTTCTTATAAGTTGTTATGTTCATGTAATCTTCTTAAAACTAAACTGTATGATTACAGCATCTACTCTCGTTCGGTCTTAAATTTATGCAGCTCCGTCCTGATTGTGCCCCACATTCTGTTGCCTACATTCTTGAGCTGTTGCAAGTGCCCCGTTATGCAGGCTGCCAATTTTATCGCGCAGAAAACCGGGGAAGCTTTTGGGACTCACTAGGAAACCATGTAAAAAATGTAAGTTTCGGACTCAGGAGTTGTAACTCTTCAGCTTTGTCTGAGTTTTGAGCTTGCTTGTTGTGAGTGCCCGTCATTCCAATCTTGTAGCATATATCCGCGTTATACATAGTTGCTCGCGTATACCTGCTTTTGGTATTTATTTCTCATTCAGAAGTTTCTCATGTAAGCTATATAGGCTCCGTTTGGCCCGCCTTTCGCGCTAATACAAGGAACGCTTGCAGCTCACGGGTTCGTATTTAAGGAGATTCCGGCAGAGGTGTCTGGCACCATCAGAAGAGGATCGGTTGCCTGGATTGGTTCCGGTCCAGAATTCTTCATCAGCCTAGCCAACCATTTTGAGTGGAAAAAAGCTTACACTGTGTTTGGTTCCGTTCTTCCTGAAGACATGGAAATCGCCGAGAAAATTGCCCAGCTTCCGACCAAACAAGAGGTCTGGAGTAACATCAATGTCTCCGTCTTGGAGAGTCCTGTCGCTTTATGGTTCCGAAGAATCAAGCCGGAATCATGATGCTGCAAGGTTCGCCGGAATAATGACATTGCCAGGTTCGATGCGTACATAAACACGCATCATGCTCAGTGTGATGCTGTTTTTCTTGGGCTTTCTACTTAAAACACATATTGGCGAAGAAAATGCAAGTTTAATAGTTGTTCGTCCTTGCTAGTTAGATTTGTTGCCTATTCAATTTGTAGATAAAGAGAGTTCCCAGATATTGATTCTCTAAGCATTGTGTTACGATACCAAGCAAACTGCATCGCGTAATCGCTACTCGGTTTCTAAAATCATACCATGCTTTGTGTTGCTAGATTCAGAATCTGCTAGGCCGTCTGACAAGAGAACATTTTTCTCGAATATATAGTTTCCACTACACGAGACAAAAAGCTAATCTACATAGTTTCCGCTACGCGAGACCACAGGCTACAAAGACTAAGCTACAATCTTCGACTAGAACCAAGCTAACGTGACCAAGTTCCACATTCCCTCAACACTTTGAAAACAAAAGGAAATTGTAAAAAGTGGCTCGTAAACGAGAGTTAAACACGAAATTACAACTAATTAAACTCACATTACCTAGTCCCTCTATGATCCAAAAGCACCACCGGCTGCTATCTTCCAATGCAATCCCACCATCTATGCCTCAGGGGATGGCATTCTCTTGGCCTTCTTCTTCTTCTCCGAAACCGCCTTCGCAAAAGCCTCCACAATTCTTTGCTGAGAGTCCAAAATCATTTCCGTCCGCTTCATTTCCATCTCCATCCGCATCGCCTCGACCTCCCTCGCCATCTCCATCTTCATCTGCTCCATCCTCACAAACCCATCTCCCAAAAGCTTAATCGCCGACACCATCTCCGCCACGGGGTCTCTCTCCCTCTCCCTCCCATTCCCTTCTCTCTTCCCCAATCCGGGCCTCCCCGAATTCCCACACTCTCTCATCACCTTAGCACTCCCATAAACCGACGCTGGATTCGAATTCATCCCGAATTTCTGATCCATCTTCGGATACACCTTGGTCCCAGGCTGAGCTATACTAACCCCAGTTGGAATCCTAATCCTAAACCCACTTCCGGCACCAGCACCGCCACCACTTCCGCCACTTCCGCCACCAACCCCAACTCCATTTCCTATACAACTTACTCATACTCTTCATATTCGACCCGTACCTCAGCTCCTCATAGAGCTCCTGATCCGGATCCTCCTCCTCTTCGTTCTCCTCGTTCTCCTCCTCTTCGCCGGGACTTTCGGAGTTTTCCCTCTTCCCAGCTGCCGGCCCCTTCTCCATGGCGTCCATCCGCTTGAAGTGGACCCACGACGACGTGAATCTGGACAACGGCATCGACCTGGCTCGCTGGATCTCAGTCCGGTACCGCTTCCGGAGCTTCTCCATCTTGTGACGGCACTGAACGGCGGTCTTCGCGGGAGAAGCAGCCGGGCATCGCCGAGCGACGGCGTCGGCCACGTCCTGCCAGTGGGTGGCCTTGAGGTTTCCACGGCGGAGGGAGTACCACTTTTCGCGGTAGGAGTCGATGAGGGCGACGGTCTCGTCGTGGGACCAGCAGGGAGGAGGGAGGCGGCGGGAGGAAGGCGGGGTTGGGTTCGGCTGTGTTTGCTGGGATTGGGTCAGCGGTGGGGCCGGGAGAGCAAGCGGCACGGCCTGCGGTGGGTCCGATTGGAGAGGGAGGATGGAGTCGTCCTGCGGGGAAGACGGTGGAGAAGCCATGGATATTGTTTTGCTTAGGGTGGGATCTGGGGATGTAGGATAAGGTGGTGGCGCAGGATAGAAGGAGGGAGGGGAAGGAGAAAAAAGGGAAGGGGGAGGAGGGAGGAGGAGAAAGTGGTGTTTGGAAGCATGATTGTGGTTGTGGGTAGGGTGTTTAAGAGGGTGGGTGGAGGGGTGTGCGGCTGATTTCGAGATCTAAGGGTGGGCGTGTGAGATGAGCGGTGGATGAGGCCACCGCTTAGGTGTGGGGTGAGGTGGCTAACGTGCGCCAGGGGTGGTAGGGTGGTAGGGTGGGGGTTGGGTTAAGTAAACCTACGCGCACCACCCCGAGAGAGAGAGAGAGAGAGAGAGAGAGAGGTGGGAGGAGGTGGGGGCAGGTCCACCTCTGTCTGACTTTGCCCATTATCTTGTCATTCTTCGATCATCGTCATCATTTGAAATTTTGTAATGGGGAAAATAGTGGTGTTGGTGTGACGGTGGGCGGGTGGTGATTGGGTGGACACTTTTGTATGGTGGGCCTTTGGGTTGTGGTGGGTTTAGGGGCGGTGGGAGAGCGTGAGGGGGAGGGAGGTGGGGGAACAAGAGGTGGTGCTGTGGTGGTACTAAATAGCAATAGGATTAGGGCATGTAAGCTTGGTTGGTGCTTTCAAGTTTCAACAAATTGGAGAGGGGGAGTTGTTTAATATCACATGGATAACACGTGTGGAGCATAAATAGTGGGGCAAACTTGTGATTAAACATGAATAAAGTTCACATTGAAACTGAAAGTACTATTGTTGCCCAAAAAAAGTGGAATTACTATTGACAACCCAACAATTGAATCATTTTTCAAAAAACTCCCCTCTCATTTTCAAAGAAAATGGTCGATGGAGAAGGGTTCTACCCTGCATTTAATTAATTTTTTTTTCTGTTGCTATCATTGTTTCATATAGAACCATGCTCTGAGGCCATGTTGAATTCTATATAACTAAAAATAGTTGTGCAAGAATTTTTATCAAGTAAGCAAGAATAATTTTCAGAAAACTTGTAGAGAGAGTTCGTTGCTCTCTATGCAGTGAATTGTGTTGAATCATCACTCATTCACACAAGAAGTGTGAAGGAATACACGAAGAGAATCTAGCCGTTACCGTTCACACGAGCCTATGAGCTAATAAAAAAGATAAGAGGCACAATACAAGCCATTAAGGTGTTTTAATCTCAGCTCTGCATTGCAGCTTGAGTGTTCATGCTATAACTAAGAACAACACACTAGAGCTTTACATAAAACTTGAAATCCAAGTTATCCAAGTAACCCAAGCAATCTTTATTTCTGCAACAGCCTTAACTCCAACAACACCTTGGCTCTTTCTACTGCTATCCCTTTACAAATTTATGGGTTTTTTTTTTATCCAAGTTTTCGGCAAACATAAATGGGTGTTGTAGGAATGATCGGAGAGATGACCATGATCATATACAATTAGTTGTAGATAAATCAAATTTCGTGACTTTTTAGGTGGATGGCGGTCTAAAACTATGTGAGGTCCATGTCGTAATGTTTTGTGTTGTCAATGTATAGAGCATGTGCAATTTATGTATTGCCAGTAGAGGATACAAACTTAGGTGTTCCGTCATATCACTTCTATTTATGTGTCTCTCATCTCCTGTGATTTGTCATTGTTTCTCTGTTCATATGTACAAGTTATGTGAAAAGAGAGAGAGAAAGAAAAGTGAGAAAATTCTTTAATGCACATATTGTTGAATAATATTGAAAATGAATGACTAAGATTAAAAATTAAAATCTAATAATTGTGATTGAGTCTGATGATTAGAACACTCATAATATCGATGCTACGTAGCATTAAAGTCGGAATCAAAAATGTGACATGAACCGTTTTAAATAAGTTTTTCCCGTAGTAGAGTGATCAATAATAACGAATGGAACTTTGATGTGTGTAATTGAAACTAGTCCTTGAGTGTTTACAGAACAGAGGAGGTAGGAATTACAAATTACAATATGCCTCAGCTGAGATTTTGTTATGTTTAACAAATACAAGAAACTTTCTAGTGATTTTACAACTAGCTGGCCAAAGGCCAAGCATCATTCATCTCTAAGATCCTGGACAAAGAGCTTGGACGACAAGTTGTCGATCTGAAAAA